AAACTGTTCTGAGAGCCCCAGCAGCCCGGAAAAGCCCTGTGGGTGGAGATGGATGGAGCCACACCAACTGCTGGGGCCACTTCCCATCCTTGCATGAACTTTAAGTGCCAGACTTAGCTGGAGCTGCCTGTTAGGGCCACTCAAAGAATATTCACCCCTCCAAAAATTCTAGAGAATGAGCTTCAAGAATGTGCAAAGATACTTAGACTCTCAGTTGCATAGGTTACACTGTGAAACAACATGGTTGTAAAGCAAGCTCAAAACTGCACACACTTTTTTTTTAACTGGAACATCTTTCAGTCACCCTGTCCTGGTAATTTGGTCTTGCAGCATGAGATTCCAGAACCTTCTGGCTTGTTGTTCAGCTTACAACATCAGCTGTCATTAAAAGAGTGTGTAGTTTATTCTATTTTAGGTTGGGTTTTTTTGTTGTTGTTGTTTAAGATCATAGACCTGAATTAACGTGAACGGCTCACCGCTGGGCACACTGATGCTGAAGTTTGACTTCTAGTTCTCGCCACCACACTGGTCTCACCGCTTGGACTTGGGCCAGGGATTCCACCTACCCAGGTAAAGGGGCGGTGGCAAGAACATCTGCCAAACTCACCAGGGTGTGGCAAGGATTAACTCACAAGTGCCTATTAACCAACAAAAATGCTGAATTCTAAAAATGTTAAGAGCTTCCGGACTCCCAAGGAAACATGGTGAAACATGTTGAACAGGAAGAATTTTCTGCTCTGAAACATGATGTGTACTCCCCAAACTATTACATTTCTAGCCTGCTTAGGTTTCAATCACCCAGCCTACATCCAAGTTGAAATCTCTTTAACTGCAGCTGACAATTATGAAACGGTTTTGGGTTGCAAAGGATGTGAAGCCACTGCGGTACCTGGCTTTCGTCACAGAGGAGAATCGGGTTTCTCTCAATTGTAATTTTGAAATCGAGCTTTCAGATCAAAATGCAGAGGCGGGCAAGGGACAATGGAGGAAGCCACCTAAAGTAGAGAATTAAGTGGTTCCTAAACAATATTTTGACTTAGTGTGTCCCTTTATTATACCTTTGAAATCAATTATGCCGTCCTTTAGCTGTAACTCAAATTCACCATGACAGATTTATCTCGGAGCCCAGCAGAGACCTCACGAGTGAGAAAGGTTCACAGGAAGAAACCTACTGGGAGATACCACCATACTTAGATAACATGTCTGTTGTGTGTTTGGAGAAGGCTTCTGCCATCTTTGCTCAATTGATGAAAATTTCAACTGGCTTAGGAGCTAAATAAATTATAAAAGTCAATCGTCCTGGAGATAAAGATGTCAGATGAAAGAATACTTAAAATTTTAATTGTCATTACCCTATTCTTCAATTTAATTTAAATTACATGGTAAACATTCATTAAGGAGACACAGATTAGAATTCAACCTACAGTGGTAGATCCAAAACAAGATTCAAAGTGCAACAGACCCCTAAGGAGGGTGGAGCTACACTGCCAACACAGACACACACACACACACACACACACAGTTTTTTTAGTTTTGGTTTAGAGATTCAAGAATGGGCGCATTAGGAAAGTTGAGCAAAAACTTTAAACATACAAATGACTTCTGTAGTCCAAAATACTATGAAAATCACCATCTAACCCTTACAAGAAAAATCTCCAAATTGGGTGGCTCTCCCAACAAAAAATTCAATGATGAAATACTTTCACTGAAGGAGTCTGACATTAGACTTAATATTCCAGATGGTAATTTATTCATCTGCTTCACCAAATGTAGTTTACTTCACTATAAAACGTCTGTAAAACTGTGGTAAATCTTACCTGTGCTAAGAAAATACGTAACATTGCTCATTAGAGAAACAAGTAGAATGAATAAGATATATTCTAACCCTTAAGTGCTTGTTAGTAGAAGTCATTTACATTGTTTTGCTTCCTAATGTAAATTTATTGGTGATTCTGGAGACACACTGTTCACTGTACATACATTCTTACCTTGGCTACCTGTTAGAAATAATTTCTAAATACTCTTCTCAAAGATACTTAATAACTTTTCATTGAACTGAAAAGATAACTTTGTAACAGGACATGGAAGGAAAGATTTCTGTTCCCAATATCTTTTCTACGAATACTAATCATGGAGTTAAAAAAAAAAAAGCACAGCGTACACGCTTCATCTGTTGGTTTCACCTGTGGGTATTTCAATAGGAGTAATCCTGAAAAGTTAATTCAAATCATTCACATAACTTAAGCTGGAGGCTCTGTCTTTTTAAAACATATCCTAAATCCATTTACTGCTTCCATTTCCAATGCTACCTACTGCCTTGATCCAAGGCTGCTATGGCAGTCTCCCAAATGGAATTCCCAACTCCTCTTCCTAAGCCATCTTTTCCACACTGCAGCTACAGTGATTGTTTATTTTTAAAGAAAACAGGAATATGATATCACTTCCCAGCATAAAACCTCCCAAGGACTTTCTACGGCACTTAGAAAGGAAATCCAGATCCTCCACCGGGACCAGCTTGGTCTCTACCACCCAGATCTTCTAGGAAGACAGGCTGTCTGCCCTGCCTCTTCCACACTGTTAACTCAGGACCTTTTCATTGGCTCTTCCATTTGCCTGGAACTTTCTCCAACCAGCTTTGTCAGCCCACTGCTTCTCATCACTCAAGTGTAAGGAGGGCGGTCCCCTCCCCAGAGAGCTCCTCCCTGACTGTCCTGTCACCTTATTTAATAGCATTCCTTGAGCTATGAAAATTTTATGTTACCTGTTTATCACCAATCTCTTCCTATTAGCATATAAGCCCCATGACAGCAGGAGACCAGCCTACTTTTGTTTTCTGCTATATTTTTGCCACAAAACAGAACCTAGCACATAGTACCCAATAAATGTTTGCTGATGAATGTTAATTACCCCAGCGCAGTGGTAAGTACCTGGGCTCTGGAGTTAGACTGAGCTGGGTGAAAACACCAGGTTTGCAACTTACTAGCTCTGAGGCTTAAGTAAGTTAATCTTTTTAAAAAAGACTTGATTTCTTCATAAAATAGAAATATTCATAGGGCAAAATAAATCCAAATTTAAATGAGGCAACGGGGATTCAAGTTTCCCTAGTCCAAGCTCCCACTCTTGCAGGCTCTACTTCATAAAGACTTCCTCTTAATTCCCAATCTGAAACTTAAGATCCCTTATTGAGAGGTAAGGGCGGGGGAATGTAAAAATATAAAAGCCTCAAACACCAAACACTTCAAATCATCATTAAATAATACTTTTCTTTCAGGGACCTGGGTGTAATAGTTCAGGAAATTGTAAGAGACTCTGATGTGAGACTGCCCGGGTTCAAACCCAGTTGCTGCACTTACTGTTGGCCAGTTATTTAAAAGTCTCCAAAGTCAGTTTCCACCCAGACAGCACTTCCCTCACAGAGAAGTGATGGTGATGCAGCGAAGCCATGGGAAGCACTTAGCGCCTTAGCGCTTAATTTACACTAAGCACGCAATGAACACAAGTTACAAAGTATCAGGCTGAATTTGAAATATTTCTTACTTAGGCAAAATCAAGATGTAATATTAAGAATTAACTCCACTAGGGGAAAAAAAAAAGTCATTTTCCAACATGTAGATTTGAATGACTTTAAAGCCATCTTAACAGATAAACCCCACATGACTCAGAGCCGGCTGCTGACCTACCTACCAGCTCAGCGTTCCTTCTGGCCGCAAGCAGTTGATGGCTCTGCTTCGGAGATCATCATTGCTCTTAGCATTTTCTTTTAACAGGTGCAGAGTCACATCATGTGCTCTGCTGAGACAAGGTCACAGGAAAACTTCCAAGGCTATAAAGAATTTCAGAAAACGACCTTTAAGGCTCATTTTGGGAAACATATTCTAACCCACCTAAAGTCCTATTTTAAGGCTTAAAAAAAATTCTTTCAGTTAAATATTTAAATTCTCCCTACTTTGTGCAGATTTAGTCTCATTTCCCACGTTTGAAGAATTCGATTCCAGAAGCTATTCTCTTAAACGCACTCCCCCCGCCTGCGCGTACCCAGGTGGTAACTTCCAAGACAGAAGGGTAAGGATGACGGATAAAAGCGACCGCGGGGTCTCGAAGGTGGAGGCTTCACGCTGCTCCTCCTCAGAATCATGGGTATACTTTCACCCTGGGATAGGAATTCACCGACCTCCTTGTTGAAAAGGAATTGGGACGGTCTGGTGACCGTCTGGTGACCCACCGGGCGGGGGACGGGCCATGCGGGTCCTCGGGGAGGGCGAGGAGGAAGGCTACACGAGAGCACACAGACCAACAGCGACCGCTTCCCTCCTTTTTAACATAATGGAAATAGAGCTCTGAGTTTGGTCAGGCGACAGAAAAAGGAGAAAGCAGTAGGTCTCAAGTACTGGTTTACCTCAAGTATCAACGGTCATAAAGGGGGCGCGCGAATCAGGAGCTCCCAAGCCCGTGCGCATGCGCATGCGCGAGTACGTGTGCGTGCGCGCCTGCGCTTGCTCAAATGGGTTCCTCTGATTTAAGGGTGGATCTGGCTCTACGTCCCCGGCGCGGAGCCTTGGTCCTCAGGGTACCAGAGTGCCTATGCTGACACCGCTTCATGGTGTTTTTCTCCCCATTGGCCAAGGATAAATGACCTAGATATTGTGCCTATTAAAGCCTCATTTTTCTTGCGCCCTTTTGTTCCTCAGTGTGCACTATCAGACGCCGCGCACACTTTATCCTCAGTCTCGGCTGTTCTTTTGAGGGAGTAATGGGAGGTTTTTGCATGTGGTTCTGTTGAGAGATCTGGAGTGGAATTATGTAAAGGCAATTTAAGGTTTTTCTTCCTGCCTGGTCTGAAGACAATCAGTTTAGCATATGACTAACAGCTAATCTCGTGTAAGAGGATGTATCAAGAAACCGTACAAAGGTCAGAATGCTGTATTTGCATCTATTGCGAATACAAAAAAATAGAGTGAACACCAGTGCCCCTACTGTACTACATTCTATAATTACATCTCTGCGTATCATGGGTCACTTTTATTAAAAGCATCATTACTACAGTTGGCAGCAATTTACATTTTATCTTACATGATAGCAGTTTTCAAAGAAAAAAATAGAGGGACATCACAACAAAGAAAAACAATACATTTACAAAGTCATGTCTGTAAACTTCAAGGCTAGTTTAGAGCTGAGGTAATGCTGTTTTAGCTTTGTGGCTAAAGTAACAAAGTCCTTTAATTTAAAAAAGGTACCTGATTCTCTCTTCTCTCACTCTTTATTTATTCATCTATTTATTTTGTTTATACCAGTGCATTACAAGACCACAAGACAATGGAACTGTAGTTCTGTCTGGCGAGAACCCTCCCAGTAGGTTAATTTCCAAAGGGACCCTTCACATTCAACAGCTGCCTTATTATTGCTGCGCCTCAGGACAGAGACGTTCACACTAACGTGGAGATTGTCAGAGTGTATGGATGTGTGTGGGTGCAAGTGTGGGAACCCCCATACAGTCAAAAAGGGAATCAAATGAGCAAGTATGATATGTGTGGTAAATTTCATCTTGACCTTCACAGAACAAAAAAAAAAAAAAAAAAAAAAAAATTAAAAATTAAAAAATTAAATATATAACTTCATACTTCCTTTGAGCAGCACTTCCTTCCATTAGTGCCCCTCGGTTACAAATTGCTCTTTATTATAATACCAATGGTACCAGAAGAAAAAGGAAAGAAAAGGAGGGGGGAAAAGCAGAGCATTATGTAAGTTTCCTTAAAAAGACATGATCACCTCTCAAATTTCATCTCTCCTAGGGATAATAAATAATGCACTGCACAATACTTAATGACCAAGATACCTTTTGACACACCTGTATAACATGACTTGGAATTTTTTTCCTTTTTTTTTGCTACACTATGTTACAGAACAGCTTATAAAACTAGGTATGAACATTAACTGTGAGTGTAAACAGTAGGACTACCACTTGTCAAAAGTTTCAAACACTTGAACTGGGACTGGGACTGGTTACTCGTCCTGTTCATTGTTTTCTACGTCTTCTCCCCCGTCGAGCGAGTCGAGCTCTTCACCCTGTGCTATTTCGTCTTCCAAGACGGAGGACTCGGCCGTCTTGTCCAGGCTCTCCTCCGCGTCGCTGCCTTCCAGGTTCTCCTCCTCCGGGAAGGCGGCGCCCTCGGCCTTGTCGGGAGCCTTCTCCTCGCCGGCGCCCACGGCGTTCTGCAGCCCCGCCAGCGCGGGGAAGCCGGGCAGCGTCAACCCTCCCAGGCCCGGAGGTAGAAACATGGACGGGTAGAAGAGGCCCGGGGCCACGGTCGACAGCAG